TTAAAATATAAAATTTTTTAAATATAATTTAATATTAAGTGGTATGATTTTTTGGTTATTAAAGTAGAATTTAATAAGAATTGCATTACATTTCCAAGTCATATTTAAAAATATTATAGATGTTATTCCTAAGTATATTTAAAAGATTGTTTGATTACCGTTGTTTGCTTTTAGGAATATTTTTAAAATTTTAAAGAAACATTCTAGAGAGAGTACAGAAAGATAGTATGTGTTGTGATTTATTGTAGATGCTGTGAAAGGGTATGCGTTGGAAAATGGTAGGAATATAAAGTTTGTCAAAAATGACAATAGAAGATTGAGGATGAAGTGCTTTGGTGCAAAAGGAGAATGCCCATGGACCATATATTGTGCTTATATGGAGGATGAAAAATCATGGCAGCTGAGAACTAAAAATGACATTCACACATGTAGCAGGGAGTCCAATCTCAAGTTACTTGACGCCAAGTGGATGAGCTCAAAGTTGGAGAAAACAATAAGGGAAAATCCTAAAATGAAGGGTGTAGATATTCGTGAAAAAGTTCAAAGGAAGTGGAACATTGGTATATCTAGGGGTATGGCTTATAGAGACAAAGCTATTGCTTCTGAGCACATTGATGGGTCCTTTAAAGAACAATATAAGAAGATATATGATTATGCACATGAGTTGTTGGGAAGAAATCCTGGATCTACAGTTAAAGTGGTTGTTGAGACTAATGAGGATGAGGTAATTTTCAAGAGATTTTACTGTTGTCTGAAGGCATGCAAAGATAGTTTTGTGTGTCGTAGGCCAATAATTGGACTAGATGGGGCCTTTTTGAAAGGGAAGTATGGTGGTGAGTTGTTAACAGCTGTTGGGAGAGATGGACATGATCAAATGTTGCCCATTATATATGCGGTGGTAGAAGGGGAAAACAAAGATTCATGGTCCTGGTTTTTGAATCTTTTGATTGATGATCTTGGTGGTCAAGAAGTATGTTCATAAATAACTTTTGTGTCAGACCAACAGAAGGTAACAATCATATTTAATTTGGTTCTTTCTTACATTAATTCATTACTTATATATCATATTTAATGTTGCCCACAGGGTCTACTACCAGCAATACAAGAGCTACTCCCCGGTGTTGATCAGAGGTTCTATGTCAGACACTTATATTCAAACTTTAGGAAGAAATTTCCTGGTAAAAATCTGAAGAAACTGATGTGGAGGGCAGCTACTACCACTCATCCACAAAATTGGGAGAGGGAAATGAGAAATATTAAAGATGTCAATAAAGAGCATTCAAGCATTTGATAGCCATCCTTCCAAGGTTTATTTTTGTACTTTTTTATTAGAACTATAACTCACTACTGCATATATAGGCACTGTAGTTGTCTATATTTTATGGTGTAGATACTGGTCAAGGTCCAGATTCAGTCCAAGACCAAAATGTGACACATTGGTGAACAATATGAGTGAGGCATTCAACAATGTATTGGTTCATACCCGGACTAAACCAATAGCAACAATGCTGGAAGAAATCAGGGTGTACATCATGCAAAGATGGGCAAAAAACAGGACTAAGATACATTCATTTACAAGATCAATTAGTCCAAAAATCCAGAACAGATTTGAAAAGGAATCCCAATCAACCAAGAACTGGATTCCTAGGTAAACTTTCTTCTCTACTTCTGAATTGTAATCTACTTTCTTCAGTTGTATCTAAACTTTGTTCATTTTTCTTAAAATTTGTTCACAGCTGGTCAGGAAATAAATTGTTTGAAGTGAGACATGTCTCCCACATTGGAGACAAATTTGTTGTAACCATAGACGACTTGTCATGCTCCTGCAGGAGATGGAGCATCACATGAATCCCATGTTGCCACTCCTTAGCCGCAATGAAGTTTCTGAATATTGATGGACAACAATTCATTCCAAGTTGCTTTATGAAGTCCATCTATGAAGAAACATATGCATCAATCGTATTCCTCGTCAACAACAACAACATGTGGGACCTACAACCATATTCGGATGTTATGCCTCCTTACAAAAAAGTTGTGCTTGGAAGACCTAAAAGAAATAGAAGAATGGAACAGTGGGAGATAAAAAAAAAGATGATTTTCGAATGACCAAGGCTGGTTTACGCAAGAGATGCGGACTATGTAGGGAGCTTGGGCATAACTGGAGTCGTTGCCCCAAAGCTACCCAACAACCTACTCCTTCATCACAACCTCTGATGCCATCATCATAATTATCTGAAGTCTGTAATGACCAAGTAGCTGAACCGTAGAAGCTTTTGGATGTACTGTTTAATGTACTCTTTTAATGTTTTAATGTAATACTACACTTATGCAATACTACACTAAATGTATTGTTTTAAAGTACTGTTTTGGATGTACTAAATCTTGTTTTGGGTGTCCATTTCAATTTTAAGTTCACCTAACTGATGTTTTCCAGCTTGGTTCAGTATTATTATATATTTATGAGTTGTTTGCATTGTTGTTTAGCATTTTGATTTAGTGAAACTCAGTTTTGGGTGTGAGGTTGCCTATTTGTCTGCATAATGGGCTGTTAAGAGGTCATATTCTGAATTATGCTATTTCTGTACCAATTAAAAGCTTAGACAACTCTATTTTCATCATATAAAGTTGTTGGAATTGATTAATTGACCTTATAGCAACTCTTGTGCATTTCCACATCTCGAAACCCCATTCTAGGTTCATTTTTTGGTGCAAATTGGCTGCTGCATAGAAACTGTTTTAAGTCTACTGTCATTTTTTTTCTAACCTCTAGTGAAGAATCTACATCTTGTGTATCAACCTCAATGTTTTCATCTTTATTCTCATCAGTAATTTAAATATTTGCATTGGATTCCTGTGCTAAATTTTGAATTAGAGTTTTATAAGTTTGCTTAGAGACTGATAGAATAATTGTGTAACTAGAATTTTCATTTGGCAGCAGGAGTTAATGTAAAAAAGTGTCATGTCATGCATTTATCTCTACTCTGGAATAGTCTTCGAACAAAAGGTTTGAATAAAGTAATCTTCTTAGATGTTGTACACTAGGTGTGGTTCTGCAGAAAAGCCAAAGTCCAAATTCACATTATCATATTTAAGATGCTACAACTACAAGTTAAAGAAAAGGATAAAGAGACTGGGGACAGAGTTCTTTCCTTTTTGCTAAAAACAAGAAAACAAGATTTAATGATATTTAAGATGCTACAAACACTCAAAAGGTTTAATGCTCTTATCTGGAAATTTTCATGTCCTCTCATACTCTGAAGAACCTTTTTGAAATTTTCTGCTCAAAAAATTAATGCTCCAACGTATTGCCCAATTCAATCAGTGGGGTTTTGAGTCATTAATTATACACTCCACAATGCATATGACCAAAGTTGACTGGTTGAGATTATAGAGTGTTGTACTCCAAAAAAAATTATAGACAGAAGGCATCGTTCCAAGGTTTTAGGAGAAAATGTTGTTGTCATTTTTTTTCTAACCTCCAGTTAAGAATCTACATCTTGTGTATAAACCTGAATGTTTTCATCTTTATTGCCATCAGTAATTTAAATATTTGCATTGTTTCCAGCCTACTAAGTAAACTCATGTAATTGTAAACAACTTTTGAAGACACTCTCTCTTCATACAAGATACAACCCCTTCTGAATCAGTTTGCAAAAGATGATTTTCTTCATTTTGAATCACTAAGGTTTCCTCAGTGCAACAATTAATTTCCCCCTGTCTTTGAGCTTCCAACAAGAGCCCGAAAGTATCATCACCTACCTTAGTGTCATAACTACAACAAGCATCCAGCGGACTAACATAATCAGCAGTCCAACTAA